TGAGGTCTTCAGGGTGCTTTTTACACTTGAGTGAATTTTTGCCAGTTCCGGCAAACAGGGCGTTTGTGGAGAACAGTTGGAATTAAGGTGGTTCCTGTGTACTTCTGTTTGAAAATTAAAGACAATAGGCACTAGGAAGAAGTAAACAGGGAATATGCCTAGAGAGCTACCTGGGTAATACGAGCGGAGAAACGAGCATCCATAACATAGTGAGTTGGATCGATAGCATAATATTTGTGCTAGAATAAGCTAAAATGATTAAATAGTGATGTAGTGAAGCATACCGGGAAAAGTTTGCGTTTGAAATGGTTGAATTTTGAAGGGAAACTAAGAAAATAGCAGTGAAGTTAAATGTGGAAAGGGAATGTGCTTTATAATTCGGCATGAACTTCAAGGTCTGAATGATTCATACATGAAAACATGTTTCTCAATGTTTTACTGGTTCTCTTAGCTCAGTTCTCTGTTTTCTTGAAAACATGAGAGCTAACATAGTGGTCTGCAGTGCAAGTGATCGTGTAACAAAAGGTACTTGTAGCAGTTAATTTTTGTAGGGGGAGAATGTTTCTGTAGATGCTTTTTAAGAAAGTAAGAAAACTCTTCATACTAATGCACTTGAACATTTGTTTACATGCTATAGAAGGACAGTGAGTGCTGTTTGCAAAGTCGTCTCTGTACTGGAAGTAGACCAAGCAACTAGCAGGCTCTCATGAGAGACCCTACTGCCTGGTGGGAAAGAATTTCCTGGAGGAGGGTGTGGGGGGAGAGAGGCAAGTTCCTGTGATTGCCTATTCAGAAGTTCAGCTTGAGTTTGATATCTGCCTGAGAGATAACAGGATTACTGGAAAGGTACTTCAGGGAGATCTCCTCTTCCTCAGGGCAGGGTCAGCTGCCAGGCCTGAGCAGGTTGCCCAGGGCTTTTCCAGTTGGATATTGAAACCCTTGGGGGATGGAGAACTCACTTCCAGGTCTGTGGGCAGTGGGGTCTGCTGCTTCGCCCTCGTGGGAGGAAAAAAGCTTACTGTACTTATCCAATCGAGTCTTTTTCTTAATCAGCCTAGCAAGACTATATGGCCCTCATCAAAATGTGAAAAGTTTGAAAAGATGCTCTGGAGGACTTCAGGATTTGAACAGAGAGAAGTGGTTTTGTTCCGATACAAGCATGTTGCTTAAGAAAAACAGTTAAGCATGTTTGCAATTGGATGTTAAAGTGCTTTTGCAACCAGTTTTATTTGTTAAATTACAGATTTGAATTAACAGATAAGTAGTTACCTAAAAGTTGTGTGAATCAATGAATACTGTCAATTCTAGCTTTGCTCTGAAGGTCTAGGACTGGCTATAAGATTGCATCTTGCTGTGGAGAGTTTTACGGTGAATTATACTCACTCTCCTTCAATATGTCTGAGATAGGTATTCTTCTTGATACTATATTATGATTTTTTTCCCCCTTTTCCCTGAGTAATTCCTTGCCAGCTGGGTTTGTGATCTTGACATCTTCTCATGGGTCTATTAATGTTCAACAGCTGTGTTCTGCTTTAAAAAAAGTTTGTATTGCATCCCAGTAGTTCTCCCTGTTGTCTTCGAATCAACTTTTGGGTGTACTGTGCTCTCAATAGAAGAAGAAGAAAAAAATGTTATTTAGAATTGAGTTTGGGTGAAAAGAAGGAGCAGAAGTGTAAAATTGCAGAAATAATAGATATTTTGTTAGAACTTCTAGGACTTCAGATTTTATAATGATGGTCTTAAACTTTTATTGTTGAGAATTTGAGATTATGTAATGTTTTGCTCATTATTGGTTATGCAAGTATAATGGCTTGACCAGCAGCTGCATTTGAAAGCAATTGTAATGTTCACACACAGTTTCTCAGCCCACACACTGGGCTATCACATGAAGATGATCTCTGTGGACAGAAAGCAAGCCCATAACACATTTTAAGACTTTCCTGAGGGCACGTAATTTTTAACATTAACACTTTAAAATCTGGGGGCATGGGGTGAGGAAAGTGACTTGCTTGTTGACTGTATCTGCATTATTTCTGAAATTCTATTTAAGTCTTTTTAACCATAAAGAATTCAACTGGTTGCCCTCACATTCTGTAGTTCAAGAAGCCTAAAGCTCTTTGTGCTTCAATTTTATAACCGTTTTACACATGGGTGTCTCAAATTCATTCTTTATGTGAATTGCATGCAGTTCCATTCTGTTGCAAAGTATTTCCTCAATAGAGAAACAAGCCATACCTGTTAGTTCTGGGTTAGCTTCATCTTAAAAGCAAGTGTGAAGTGTGTTTTAGAAAAGCTCTTTAATTTTGAAACGAGTAAAGAGTTTTTGTTGTTTTTTTGTCAGTGGTCCAGGCTCCATATGTGATCAGTCATAAGTTATTTTCTCTTCTGGAAAATAACTTGATGGTTGATTAAAAATGGAAAGCTTTTATGATAAAATGTATTAGGCCCTACAGAAGGAAGCATCCAGAAGTAACTATCTACACTGGTCCGTTTGACCGTGTCAGTGAGTTTTCCTGCTTGCATGGTTTTAGTTTCCTGATAACAGCCTTTTGCACAAGTGTTCTTGAATTAATCTACACATTTAGGGCTCTGTAAAGAAAACTAAGGATCATTAACTACAGTCTATGTGGATTATAGATCAGTAGCTGTTAGTATATCTGATGCGGAATGTTTGACTTCGTTCTGATAGGTGCATGTTCCTTTCAGGATTTAAATTCCAGTTTTCCAAGTTATGTCGTGAATCCAAAAGGCTACAGAGGTGTCTGTTTTCATAAGTCGTTCAGAGCAGCTACCTCTAAGCTGCAGGATGCTGCCAAAATGATTTCCAGACTATTTGAATGTCCAAGAAATATTCATGCAGGCTCAGTACAACAAAATACTTTTCTTTCACAGAATTTTTTAAGTTACTTCTGAGAAAAAAAAATATGCATGTCTTTTTGAGTGTGTATGTACATCAACTTTCTGGTAAACTGTGAATCTGAGATCAAGTTCGCATGTAATAAAAAACGTTATTTAAAAAACCCAAACAAACACTCCAAAACTTCAATTTTAGTGGCATTGGAACTGTTTGCTGAATGCAAACCAGAGGTTTATGGTCCAGCATCCTGCTTACTGAGATGGGAGGAGGGAGAAGAGGTAAAGTAGAAGCAGAAGAAAGGCTGGGGAGTTGCTTACCTGCTCTCTACTGTAAAATATGGCTTTTCCAGAAGAAACCACTGTGGCAGGGATCTTCAGATTTCAGTGTAATCTGTGTTAAGTACTAGTCTGACTGACATACATCTTCGCCAAAAAATACTCTTAAAACTATGCTACTACATTATGTAGAAGTACTTGAAGACTTCTTATATGAGGAAGACTTTTTTCTTTGGAATCTTTGCTATTTAGAGATTAAAAATTGCATGGTAACCTATGGATAAATGTTAATAATGCTTGAAAGTTATCAGCCTCTGAGAGATAATATTTCATCTGTGATATTATCATGTTATTTCCCAGGAGAAAGAAAACTGTTTTTTTTTCAAATCCTCGAGCTTTGAAGTGAGCTGCAATGTAGAAAATAATTTGAGTCTTACTAGCTATAAAAAATGCTGTCTGGATTACTTTTAATTTGCTGCTACAGTTTTTGATAAACTTTGCTACATCTAAATTTATTAGAGATGTGGGCACTTAGACTGTCCAGGCAGTAGGGATTTCTTTGAAAATCTTTACTATAGATGGTTAGCTTAAATGAATCTTGTAATACTCATGTTTTCTAAACTTATAATTCCTACCAAACTAGATGAAAGGTATTGAGCAGAGGAGAAACACCAAAAGGGTCTCTGCTCTACTGTCTTTGTAGGCTGTCTTGACTTTTTTTGGGTTCAATGAGAGACCCTGAGATTCATGTTCTCCCTACTCTCCACCTGCTGAAATAACACCATCTGGTTGATACTTGTCATTAGGTGATGTCTCTTCAACTGCATCCTGCATTATTAGATTGCACAACGTACAAGAGAAGTGTCCTTTGTATTTTGGGTGAATATCAGGTATGTATGGGAGTACCAGAGGAGAGGGCTCTATTGCTTCTTTCTGAGAATTGCCAGAACTTGGGGGAGTGTAATGGCTTTGGATTGTCTAGAAAGACTGAAAAACAGTCTTCTATAGGACAAGTGTTAGGAGAAAGGGAAA